TGCAAGGGCAGGTCAGCTGTTAGAGTCACCCTTTAAAACAGCTCATTTTTATAGCAAAAGCATTGTTTAAAGGGTTTGAAGGAAGCAAGAAGAGGACTCTGGCATGTGATTCTGTGTCCATTTAGCCTCAGTCCACGGTGTATTTAGTATTAGGAGAATGCAGTGTTATTGTGCGTACCATTCATGCAAATTAGTTCTCGTCAATTATTCTGCGTCCTGTTTAAATGGCCACATAGTGCTTTTCGTACCAAGATGAACAAATTGATGCTAGCAGTGGTTCCCACGATTTAGTGTGCATCAGGTTCACCAAGAGAGCTTGTTAAAGCAGATTGCTAAGCCCCACCGCCCAAGTTTTTGGTTCAGCTTATGTCAACATCTCAGGCAGTTGGGAACTGATGTTTTGCATTTCTAGCAATTCCAAGGTGATGCTAATGCTAGGTTACAGGAAGAGTAGCTTCAGATGCATTCTTAGCACACAGGAAATACCTAGACCAGGGGTGGGCAAACTTTTTGACTCGAGGGCCACAATGGGTTCTTAAACTGGACCGGAGGGCTGGAACAAAAGCATGGATGGAGTGTTTGTGTGAACTAATATAAATTCAAAGTAAACATCATTACATAAAAGGGTACGGTCTTTTTTTTTTTTTTTTAGTTTTATTCATTTCAAACGGGCCAGATTCGGCCCGCGGGCCGTAGTTTGCCCATGGCTGACCTAGACCCTTATTATTTGATGCTGTGCTCTGACAATACAGTAGATAGGACAAAGTCCAGCCATCAATCCAAGGTCAAGGGGGTCAGAGTACCTGGGACAACTTATATACAGAAATAAGCTAACAATGTTCTCTGAGACCATTGCTGTCAAACTTCTGCTTCCCACACCTACATCTGAATTGCTAACAAAGCATAATTTGCTTCATTTTCTTTTTTTAAAAATTATCTTTATTGTTGAGAGTATCACAGATGTCCCTCTTTCCCCCTCCATTGACCCCTTCTACCCAGCATCCCTCCCCTTCCCCAGGTCTTTACCACACTTGCTTAATTTTCAATTCTTCTCTTAGTTTCTACCCACCACCGACGGCCAATGTAGTTCTGCTTGTTTGCTGTTGCCATCCTAAGTGTCTATTAGTTGGCAGGTGGCTCCATGGGTCAGTGTGGCTGGGAGGTTCTGAGCATGGGGCCGGCTCTGAGCTGAATGAAGACTACGGTCCAGTGTATACGTATGAGCTCGACTCACATGTGTGCCCTCACCAGCTGTAGGCTCACACCCATGACTTCAATAGGATTAGGGCGCAGATCTATTGTGAAGAGACCTGCAGCCCTTTAACTCTTGGGATTGCCTGGGTCGTCAGTGAACTGGTAAGTCTTCGGCACAGCACAGGACCCGAGCATCTCTGACCGAGGTTCCTCCTGGCAAATTTCTGCACCTGGGCCAGCTGCTCAGCTCTAAACGGTCTGCCATGACCTTTCAGGGCTGAAGAGCGCCTGCAGACGGCCCTGTGACAGAGGCTTCCTGCCAGTGAAAAACCATGACTGCACTTTATACCATAATTGAGCGGAGACAGGATTTACCTCATCGGAGCACCTTGCCTCTCTGACCCCATTTCATCTTATTAAAATAGACACTCGGGACCTTTTTTTTTTTTAAATAAAAAATTTATTGAGATGATGCAATTATAGGCTTTTCTTTAAAAATTATTTGCAACTCACTGGCCCTGAGAAAAGGCATTTTTTTCTTTTTGTTACATTCATTTGATTCTGTCCCTTATAAACCCCACACCTCATAAACAACAAGAACAACAAGAGATTAGAAATTAAACAAACAAAAAGAGAAAACAAAAAAGAAAATTCTAGATTCGTTTGGGTTTGCAGGTGGTTAAGAGGAACCTTCAAGAATGTTCACTTGGCGTGTGTGAAAGATCCCGGGAGTTCGGAGCTGTTAGTGTTGATGCAGACGGGGCCAAGAGTATCAGGTTAGTCTTGGGGGTTTTAGACAGGCAGGGACCATTGTGTCCCCTCCCTCCCCTGCGCTGGCTTCCTCTTGTCACTCCCTTCATTCCAGGCTTCTGCCCAGAGAGGAGCAGGCTGAGCAGGTGAAAACTAACTAGCACCGAATGGAATGCCTGGGCGAAGAAAACCGCCCTTTGTTCTTTGTGTATTTTCCCAGACCTTTTATCTTCAGCTTCCTGGGCGGGAATGGGTCAAATGGGGGTATGATCGGGCTGGATCCCAAACCTAACTCCGTCCCTGGCATGCTGTCTGCTCCTAGGACAAGTCCTAGTACCTCTCTAACACTCAGGTTTCCCTCTGCAAAAGGAGTTAATATTTCAAAAATGTTTTCAGAGTTGGAACCTGGGCAGGGAAAGGTGGAAATGGTGCCGACTTAGTCATTTAGGTAAATCTTGCCATAGCCTTTAAGTGTCAGCTAAATCTACATCCTCAGTGTCAGAAGGCAATGGATCAGAGGCTCCAAAGATACTGTTGAAAGCAGCACATCCTAGGTTTGTTATTTCTCTTTTCCTGTGAGACCGCCCCTCCCCCATGATCTGGACCATCGGTGATGCTGCCTTAGGCCAGACCATGTTGCCTTGGTACAAAAAGATCTTAGAGATCATGTTACTTCCACACAACCAGTCCATCCCTTCGCCACTGCTACCTTCCGATGGAGAGGAGGCAACCTGACCAACTCAAAGTGCAGGGAGGAGATGCTAGACAATTTCAAGATACAAGTGAGCGTGCCTATACCGGACACGGCTGGAGAAAGCTCCCCTCCCCCTAGGTAATCTTCCTCTGCATTTTCCTTTCCCAAGTTCTGATCTCGCAAGCCAAGAATTCCCACGATGGCTGCAGGGAAAGACCAACTATTTAGATCACAGATGTGCTTTTAACTTGGTCCCAGGTGGAATGTTCACCTCCCTTGGTATGTAGTGTTGAAGTGGGACATGTCATGCTGGATGGATTCTGCAAGTAGGAAGCAAGCTCTCGGAGGGCAGGATCGTGCCCGATTCACTTTTTAGTCCCTCACAGGTCTCACAGGTGCTTCATGAAGGCTGGCTACATTCAATCTGAAACTTTTGGGGTCTGCATGTGTGGGCACTGTACCCCTGGTGTCAGCACTGCCCAGGTGTTCTCTCAAAGAACAAATGAGAAGGTCTTTGATGTTAAGGGAAATCAATAGAAAATCATTATTGGTAATAAATACCTGGAAGGGAAATCAAGACTATACTGGAATTAGCACCTTCTATTTCTTCTTTAAGTGGCTGAAGGTGTCATCCTGTCTTACATTTTCATAGAGAATATTGCTTTAAATACAGAGAAATCCTTGGGGCCAAAGGGAATTTTCCTCCATAACTCATCCATAAGATTCTTGGACTGGAAAGTAGCCCGAGTCGCACTACCTGGGTCAGGTGGACGGAATGACATGTCCTCATCTCAGGGAACAGCATCATGCCCTGGTGTCTGATTTCATAATCACACAAAGGGCCCCACTGAAAATCCAGCCTGTTTCTCCAGCCCTCAAACGCAGTGGCTTTCACAACACTCCAGGTATCTGGCTTCATCTCCCCCTTGGAGATACATCAGTCATCTCAGAGGCTGGTGTGCGGCTGCACACTCCTGAGAGACATCTGTGGCCTGCTGGCACCCAGCGGCACTGCCCCGTCCACACCGATTCGGACCAGACCCTCCCCGTGGGGAGCCTCTAGCCTCCCACAGATGGTCTCTGACCTCATCACAAGCCTGCTATTCTGGAAGTTAGAGTGGGGGGAGTGTGTGACGTGGGAGTGGCTGGCCACCTCCGTGTGTCTACATATGGTCTGATATGAGGCAGGAACAGAGCAAGAACAAAGAGCCCCGATCAGCTCCTCAAGTCCACGGTCCTGAAACCATCCTTAACCTATTGTGCTCTTCGCCCCCACTGGTGTCCTTGTCAGGAGGCTGGGGAAGGGTTGTGTCTAATGGCTGGAGAAGAGGCGGGGGTCTGGCACCCTCACTTGGGACCCCTGCTGACCATCACCTACGTACCCTGGGGGAGCTGAGGGAAAGAAGGAGGGGGTGCTTTGTAAGGCAGGTCCAGTCTTTTGAATTAAAACACACTGTGCTCCTCATATTGGATTCTGAACCTGTATTGGAAGAGGGAACTGAGACGGCTAGAAAAGGAAAGCAAATCTAAACAGCTCTCTAAAAATGTTATCAAAAGTACGAAGGGGTGGCGCTAGCCTCACTTTCCAAGATACAATCGATCTTATTTTGAGGGGAAAAAGAGCCATGAATGGGTCCACTCTGCAGCACAGCTATGCAAGAAGGACAGAAGGAAACGGTCATGTATCTGAGGGATTTGCTGTCTGCCCAGGCTGGGCAAACATAGGTAGCAACCGAGACTGCACATTCCAAGGTCCTCCCTTCTCCAATGCCCTGTGCCCTATGCGGACTGGGAAACTTTTAAAAAGCCTAGAAATTGCAAAAAAAAAAAAAAAAAGTTAGGTGAGGGCATGGAACTGACCATGTGATGGAGCACAGGCACCCTTCCTGCCTGCCTGGCCTGCGTGGCCTGCGTGGGGATAACAGGTCCCAGCTCAGAGCTCTCACTCCGTTTCTGGACCCTCAGGCCTGTGTGGTCTTTGCGGGTTTTCCACTGTGATCCCAGGTGCTGGGGCTTCCAAATAACCCGCAGCGTCCACCTTGGGCCGAGGCTGTAGAACCCTGAGCTGCGGGGCCCTCACGCCGTGGCTGTCTGCGGGATGGACACCCGTCTCCCTGGAGGACAGCAGCCTCTCAGGTGTTTGGGGCTCCCTCAGACGGTGGCCAAGTGCAGGGATGTGGGTCTGACTTAGCGGCGTTGGCCCCAAAGCACCCAGGCCACCGATTCTGTTTAGATGCCAATTGCTACCCAGACTCTCCAAGAGGCTGAATTGATTTCCGGGGCGGGGGGGGGGGGGGGGGCAGAGAGGGAGAGAGAAGGCAGGGAAGGAGAAAGAGCAGGAGAGAGAAAAAGAGACCTCTCCTTTTTCACTTTATCTTTTTAAAAAGCATCCTCTTTTCCCTGCCCCCTGCCCCCCAAGATCCAACAGCAACAGGAACAGACCTGATCCACGTGGCGGGGGCAAGAGGAGCTGGACCCTTTTGCAAGTTTTCTCTTTCCTGATGAGCTGGGTTTGCCACACTTTGTGAGATTTGCAAAATATATATATATATAATAGATATAATATTTCCATAGGAAAACAAGCTCATGTCTTCCCCTAGATGACTGATGAGAGTCAAACTGCGTGGTCATAAAAAAAATAAAAACAAAAACACCGTGAAACTGACAACAGGTGGAAGGGCGAGGGTGAGGAATTGCAGATGGACAGATTCCGAATGAGGGGGGAACGTGAAGGCGAGTCCTGGGCTCGTGCCGCCGGCCAGAATTCCAGCCCTGCCTTTGCTGGGTGGTTTGTCTAAGGTGCTCTGGGTCCCTCCTGGTATGCAAGGGAAGTGTCACTCCCGTTGCGGGCCTCGTCCTCTCCTACTCTCCGCAGTCCCCTGCTCCGCCTCCAGCAGTCCTGGGGCAGCGGTGCCCTGGGCTGCAGCCGCTGAGACGGGCTGGTGCCTTCAGCATTCATCCTCTTGGTATATTTGTTCATCCAGCTCCTGGGACTCGAGGTGCTCCAGACGGTCTGTCCGGCCACTCATGATTTCATCTGGGGTTTTCATAAACCTTTGGGAGAGGAAATGGAGGAGTTAAGAGATTGTATTTTGCTAAAGTTGTTTTCACCCTGAACTTGAAACTAAAGAAAAAGGCCCTATCACCTCATAGAGCTGGAGAGCTACTGAAGCCAGCTATTAATGGTAACTTAGTGTCAGTTAGAAAAGGGCGCCCCTTACCCTGACTGCCTGAAAAATGGTGAAATAACTCTAAAAAGACGTTGCGATGATGGCAGGCAGAGAGCGCCCACTGGAGCTGTGCAGTGCATCCCACGTGACCTTGTGAGGGAACGCTGGTACAGCTCACTCATCTGTGTTTCTTATTTTTAGAGAGTTACATTTTACAAGGACCCACGAGAGCTGTAGATCCACTTCCATCCCGAACTGTGAGTCCAGGGAACAGTATTTGAAACTTGATTTTAACTCAAAGGATACAATTAAATGCTGAATGGAAAATTCTGATAATAGGACCAGTTAGTAATGGTGGTTGGGAAATCAGAAAGGCAAAAAGAAAATCTTTTTCAATGTTAACACGAACACATCCAAAACGTTAGCAACGAATCCTCTTTAGCCTGTCTTCCTTAGCAGCCAGGCGCACACTGCAAGCCTCATCTTCTTGTTCACGGGGTTCCCTTGGAAAGAACTTCAGTGACGTTTCGACCACGATTTCATGGTTCTGGAAGGCAGCCTAGATGCAAACACTCTGCCCTACTGTGGGAGTGCCCTTTCCTCAGCCCCACTGTGTGCTGGCACGCCTTTCCCCTCCCATCTACTCTGCCCTGCACCAGATGAACTGTCTTCACACACACATTTTCTCTCATCCCTCCAGGTCCAAAGCCTACGATGACCACTTATTAAGTCAAGGACACAGTCTCCGGCCTGCCCACCGGGGCCCTTTGTCATCACACCCAGGAAACTCTTGATTTCCACTGTAAATCCTCCATCTTTGTCTGGCCAGTCTTCTTCCTTCTATAGTCATGGCTCATGGCAGCCTCCCAACCTCCAGCTCGGCCTCTATTGGAACCCTCTCTACCCCTTTCACTGTCTGAGCCCTACTCATGCTTTGAGCTCCGCCTCATCCTCCAAGAGCTGCTAATGGAACCCGTCTACGCCGAAGCCTTCCTCCCTCCTCTCCCAAACATCTTGTACCGAGCACCCACAATGTAATACGTCACCTGACTATACCCTGGATTTCATTCCAAGAAGCCTTCGTTTTGTGGCAAGTCTGGCTTGCAACACTCATTTTCTCAAAAGTGACTAATCTGCCCCGCTAATAGCAGGATTCTTCCCCTTACATCTTGTTGAAAATCACTATGGGAAACCTGGGAACCTTCTGGCTACCACTGCTTTTCTTTCCTGCCCGTATTACGGAGGCAGCAGGATCTGTAGCGTCTGCAGTCTGTCTTCTACCTTTCCTCCCCTCGCTAACGCTTCCCCCTCAACACCTGAAGTCACTGACGATGCCCTCCAGGCCATGCCCACAGATAGGCGATGTGTGGCCCTTCAAACGACCCTTTTCTTCTTTGACTGCTTTTCCATATTAAGCTTCTGATATTCCAAGCTAGGCTCGTCAAGAAATATTTATTGAAAGCCTCCATAAGGTGTACAACAGAATTACACCAAATGTAATCCTCTACCTTCTAGGAGCCTATGACCTAGTTGTGGGGAGAAGGACTTCACTATCAAAAATGCAGCCCACCCCCTAGCCGGTTTGGCTCAATGGATAGAGCATTGGCCCACGGACTGAAGGGTCCTGGGTTTGATTCCGGTCAAGGGCACATACCTTGGTTGCAGGTACCCCGGCCCTGGTCGGGGGGTGTGCAGGAGGCAACCAATCGATGTGTCTCTCTCACATGGATGTTTCTCTCTGTCTCTCCCTCTCCCTTCCACTTTCTCTAAAAATCAATGGAAAAATATCCTCGGATGAGGGTTAACAAACAACAAAAATGCAGATCACGAAGTGGTTAAGGGCCAAGAAATGACAGAATAAGATATCTGTGTGTTTGAGCAGTTGAAGAAGGCCTCGTAAAGGCAGGCAACTGGAGGTGGACCTAGAGGGTATATATGTTAAAAAGCAAAACTCAAAGGGGTATATGTTTCTGATACAGGGAATTGCATCTGTGTTGCAGGGAGGCTGGCAGTGTATATAATGAACTTGGGAGGCAGGACAGTGGACCAGAGAAGGACAGAGAATGTCGAATTAATCTGGGGGTGAATGTGAAGTCTAGATATCAGTCTCCATTGCTCGGGAAGCAATAATAAGGCTGTTGCCTTTCTCGAATCTTCCACATCTCAAGAAAGTGCTTGTCATTTGATAAACTCCAACCTGGAACCTGCTCGTAAGAAACCTTGGGACGTGCGGTGCCTGCAGCACAGAAAGGAGCCAGTGGACAATTCAGCACAAACACTGGCTCAGGCATAGGAGAGTCATGGCTGGCTGCTTGACACAATGGTGATGCCAGTGATGAGAAGCAAAGGTGGGGGGGCGGGATTTCTAGCATGTGAAGGTCTGTCTTGAATGTTGCATGGCCAAGATACTAACGTTAACTTTAAATGGACAAGTCCTATAAGAAGCCTTTGGAAATGCAGATTTGAAACTTCAGGGAGGTTTTAAAGCTGGGTACAAAGATTTAAGAGTCTAACCACTGAGGTGATAATTCAAGCTATGTGTCGGGATCAACTCATTCAGGAAAAAGGCACGTAGCGTGGGAAGAATATAGCCACGGACTAGGTGTGGAAAGAATGAAGGGAAGCAGCAGCACAGCCAGCAAAAGGAGGGCTCTTTTTTACTTCAGTTCCTTCGGGATCCGTCTCTTGAGCGGCCTTTTCCATTTTTCTTAAGATCTCAACTGTTTTAACTGCCCCTTCCCAACACTAAAGCCCAGGTTCTCCACTCTTTCCAGTGAGCTCACCTGCACACAGACAGTGTCATTTTCTATCTGCACATAAACAACTCTAAACGCATGTCTCGAGTCCCATCTAGAAGTCGTTTCTGTCCCACTTGCCAAAACTCATGGGCTCAGCTTGCTTGTTGATCCCACTCTCTCCCAACTTTCCCTTGGTCTCACCATGGCCATTACCCCCCATGAACACCAGCGTTCTACCTCTCCTGACTGGTCCTTTAGGTCCCTTCTCCTTCCTCTTCTAATTCTTTCTCTCTTCTTACATTGTACTTGGAATCACAATCTATGTGGTAGTTTCAATGGTTGGAACTCAGTGTGAGGAATTCTGGGAAGAGGAATGTCTAGAGCAACAGCTTTCAGTGCATTATAACAAATATATTGTAACACACACACACACACACACACACACACACACACACACACACCTGAAACAAAATTTTCATAAATGAACAGTCCCTTTGAGTTTCATGTGATACATTTCTGATATTTTCAAGTCCAGGTTCAAGCCCTGGTGTTCCCATACACAGTGTCACTCTGACTGCTCCCTTACCTGCACTGGATGCTAATGGCAGGTAATACTATCTGATCATTGCATTGTTTTACAGGGGAGTCAGACTGTGTTTACTTAGTTTTGATTTTACTATAGGACAGACATAAATTTTAAAAAAATGATTTTTTTCTTAAATTCTAACAAACCAGCACCTGGTAACAGATTCGTAGCTCCGGTGGCGTTGAGTATCGGATAGGCAGGTGGAGATCTTAACAGGCTCCCTCCTCCCTCTTATTTAAAGAAAACAATATCCTCCCCAAAGAAGGAAAGGAGAAAAAGGAAGTGCTACCTGAACAAAAGCCTTTGTCCGGGCTCCTTCCTGATGATGTTTAGTTTGTAGTAGTGGCGCAGGGCTCTGGACATTTTCTCATAGGTCATGTTTGTTCTGTTCTGTTTGTTCAAAGGAGGAAGGGAGAAAAAAAGCACAAAGACACAATGAAATGAACCTCAGAAAAAGCGCTGGGGGAGCTGTTAAAACAAAAGTTCTTCAGCGGCTCCCGTGGCCCCAAAGTTTGGGAAGCTACCTGCGCATCTGCGGCCACCCAGGCCCATTAGTCCCCACCCCTCAGCCGCCAAGACTTCTCCCAGTGAATCACCCTTTGTCAGAAGTCCCAGAGGGGGAGGGGGAGGGAGCTCCGGCTAACAGGGCATATCCCTCAGCAGCCTCCCTCACTTCCTTTCCCAAGACTGCGCTCTGCTGTGCCCCAGGAATTTCCTGCAGGTTCCCACTATCTGTGGGCCATCCTTCACCTTCTGACCCACAGAGGAGTGCTTTTCTCTTTTTTGTTGCAGTGACCTTTCTCAAACTGTGTTTCTGGTTGGTCATTTTAAGGAAGAGATATTTTGTTGCTTAAATTCCTGTTGTGGAAGCAAAAATACAGAGGTTCCCAGCGCTGGGGCTGGGGCTATGGCACCATGTGGGAGGTGCAGAGGGATTTTTCCCAGGACTCGCGCATGGAGTGTCTGGCAGTGGAGTGGGCCCTGCCGCGTGTGGTCATGGCTGGCACGGGTCCTCCAAGGCTGCGGCCAGGGCAGAGCTCGCTCGGCTGCGGCCCCCTTGTCCCCTCTCACTTGGCTGAGCTGGCACTGTGCCACTATGCCACCCACTTGTCTGTGGTCAGCCCCGGATCTTGGGTACTTGATTTTTTTAAAAGTAGGAATACAGATTTAGTTATTTAGTTTTTTTTTCTTTTTGGGGGGGTTGGGGGTTGGGGGTAGGTGTGCTCTTTGCTCTATTTACTTTATTTTGTTGTGGCAAGAACGCTTAACATGAGATCTACCCTTTTAACAAATTTTTAGTGCATAATGCACTGGTGTTAACATGTTGTACAGCAGACCCTTGGAACTTACTCATTTTACTTAAAGAAAACTTCATGCCCATTGACTAGTGACTCCTCAGTTTCCCTTCCCCCAACCCCTGGCAACACCATTCCATTCTTTGATTCAATAAATGTGCTTATTTTAGGTACTTCATAGAAGCGGAGTCAGCCAGTATTTGTCTTTCTCTGACTTGCTCACTACACTTCGCATAATGTCCTCAAGGTCTGTCGTGTGGTCGCATATGGAAGAACTTCCTCCTTTTCTCTTGCAGGTACAGACCACAGTTCCTTTATCCCTTCATTCATGGATGTACATTTGGGTAGTTTTACTTATTACATCTGTGCCCTTGAACAGTTTTCCTAACTCTAAAAGGCTTTATCTTTTAGATTCCACTCCCTCTTCCTAGTGTGGGAACTCGTGGGGCAAGCCTACTTCTTGCCCTGTGTGCTTTGAAAGGGGGATGTTTTAGAGTCAGAATGTCAGTATTTTCCGTGGGAAAGGGGCTTTCGGGAACATGGGAGTTTCCGACTGAGCGGAACAGAAGCCGCGCTTCAGAAGGTCCCTCGTGCGTCAGAGCCCCATGCGCTTCCCCGTTACCAGTTCCTAATGACACAGGTAACAGGGCCAGGTCAAGGGGGCGGTGAGGGCTGCTCGGCCCTCAGCCCGGAGGCCAGGATATGCAGAGCTCGCTGGCACCTGGCCTGAGCCACACCGGAAAGGGGCATCTTTAATGATCTCCTTCCCTTTGCAACTGTCTAATTGTTGGCCCAGTAAGGAAGAAACGAAATGATTACGGGCAGACTTAGGAAGCAGCAGACAGACAATTACCCTCCGACCCCGGCAGAAAGGCTGTGTTTTGGCACCAGTTGACAGAGCAGATAGCTGGTGCCCTTTTACCTTATGGTTTCCCCACAGTCGAGCCAGTCCATTGGGGTCCACTATCCGGAATATTTTGGATTCTTTGTCCTCCCATCGGATGAAGTTTTCGTACCGGCTGTCAGAAAGCAACTGATAGACGTAATCCCAAAGCAGTCTACAGTCTGCCGAGGAAAAGGGCAAGAAAACGCTGTTGAAAAGGTTTCTTGTCGAGACCAAGAACGCAAATCAGAAAACAGTCGAGTGAGTAACTGCTCTGGCCTACTTTGGATGGACGGCCTAACCTCCCGTCTGACAGGGAGACCTGGGCCCCGAGGGGCACATGGGGTGGTGTTGGGGAGGGTGACCTCTGTCCTGTGCGGGCCTGAGACCATCCACTCCAACTGCCTCCTTCCAAGAGGGGGACACAGTGACCGGGAGAGAGGAAGCGACTTGTCCACCGTCATGACCCATGACCTGACTTTGAGCAGAGCCCACAGGAGAGAGAGAACCAGCTCGAACTGCAAATGCACTGGCCCTGAAAGTGTGCTGAAAAGTGGGCAGGCAGGGTGGCAGGCAGGAGGCGAGTCCCGGTGTTCCAGAGAGAGCGGGTGGCATTAGTGGTGGTGCTCAGATGACCTGGGGCTGGAGGGTGATACTGAATGGATAAAGACGAGAAGATTGGGGTCGGCTAAGCAACGGCAGAAAAAGAAGCCTGCTGCGTGAAGGGCTGTGGGGAAAGAAAACGCCATGGGACTCAGTGACCGTGACCATGGGAGATGTGACCGGCCTGCTGCTGCTTCTTTTTTTTTTTTTTTAAGAGTACAGATATTCTCACTACAGCATACTTGGGAGGTCTTTAAAACTGCTTTATTATAAGGGAAGCAGGGTAAAAAGAAACCCCGTACAAAAAAATGCCTTTCTCTACTTTAAAATGGGTGCTCCATCACTGGGTTGGGCAACCAAGACTTAAGTGAATTCGTGTAGGCCAGGCCCTGATCTAGGCTTCTAGCAAATTCAAAGAGAAGATGCGGCCCTGACCGGTTTGGCTCAGTGGATAGAGCGTTGGCCTTCGGACTGAAGGGTCCCAGGTTCGATTCCAGTCAAGGGCATGTACCTTGGTTGTGGGCACATCCCCAGTGGGGGGTGTGCAGGAGGCAGCTGATTGATGTTTCTCTCTCATCGATGTTTCTAGCTCTCTATACCTCTCCCTTCCTCTCTGTGAAAAATCAATAAAATATATTTAAAAAAAATAAAAAACAAAACAAAGAGAAGATGCCTTTCCTTTGTGCTAGTGCGCTCTGGATTTGTGCCATCATGGGATGTGGTTTGCCCTCTAGCAGGTGGGTGGGGGCCGACGGGTACTTTCTAGGTCTAGTTCATGTTGGATTGGCCTCCGGGTGAGAATAAGAGACCCAACTTCCAGGTGCTCACTGCGGACCGGGAGCTGTGCCAGGCCCCGCCAGCATGACTGGTAATAACTGACGAGCCGCAGGATGCCGCGTATGTACTTGCCACTCTCACACGTTATTTCTAACCCTCTCACCCCGAGGTCCTGGGACTTGAAACCCGAGGCCCCTGCACTACAATGTGCTGACTCCCTCCTGTTGGGTGGGGCCTGGGAGTCCTGGAGGGAGTGTCTGGGTTAGACCTGGAGTGTCTCAGAGCCAGCACGTCACCTCCCAGAGAAACAAACACACCCTTCTCTGGAGTGTACCTACAAGGGGAATGGAGTCAGGTCCCCTTGGGCGAGTTTCTTGAATCTCCCTGAGGTTCGGTGTCCTCATTTATGAAACGGGATTAAGAGCCCTTACTCTGCAGGAGTCATTTTCGACCTTTTTCATCGAGGGCACAACATACACCGTCACTGAAATTCTGCAGCACACCAAAAAACGCATTTTTTGAAGGTCTGACAAAAAACTAGGTATAATTTTGATTCATTCCCACTAGACGGCTATTGTTGTGTTGGCTGTTGTCATTTTTTAATTTGACAATCTAAGGGAAAAGAGGTCGGTGCCCTGAGTAAGTAGTCAGGTAGGTATTACCTGTCTAAAACATTCTGGTGACACACCGGTTGAAAATCGCTGCTTTACAGGATTATCGGATGAGTGATAATGTGAGTGAAGAGAAAGTAATGGAAGTAACGACGGTATTTTTTGGTGCTGTTTGCAGGCGCTGTGCTGTGTACTCTGTGGGCAGGGCTGCATTTGGTCCCTGTGACACCGGATGAGGTATTTTATGGACAAGGAAGCTGGGGCGCAGCTCCGGAGGGACACAGGATTCTAGGTTCCACGTGACTCAGAGGCCTGTGCCGGGCCACACTGCCCAATGCGGCTTCTATCCTCAGAGAAGCTGGTGAACAGGTATATGTTTGTAAAAATTTAGGACTTTCCAGAGCAAGGTTTAACTCTGTTTAGTGCACCTTTTATGAAATCCAGCGTATTCTCTGAACAGAAGGAACTGGCATAAAATATGGCATTTTCTGGGAGGCTTAATTTTTCTAGGAATTACCATGAAACTTAAAATGATCATAAATCTTGCCCTGGCGGGTGTGGCTCAGTTGGTTGGAGTGTCGTACCATACACCAATGGAGGCAACTGATTGATGTTTCTCTTGTGTCTCTCTTACATCAATGTGTTTCTCTCTCTCCCTCTCTAAAATAAAAAAAAAGTAGCTGGCATTAAAAAAAAATAAACCATAAATCTTTAGTGTCTCTTACTGTATTCTTTTTCTCCCAATTACCTGCATGTAAAAGTTAATGTGCCTTGGCCGACTTGGCTCAGTGGAGAGCGTCGGCCTGTGGACTGAAGGGTCCCAGGTTCGATTCTGGTCAAGGGCACATGCCTGGGTTGCGGGCTCAATCCCCAGTAGGGGATGTGCAGGAGGCAGCCAATCAATGATTCTCTCTCATCACTGATGTTTCTATCTCTCTCCCTCTCCCTTTCTCTCTGAAATCAATAAAGAAATATATTTTTTAAAAAAAAGTTAATGTGACCTGTTTCATTGTGTTTTAGAAAAGGACAAGTGGTGTTCTTAAACCGATGACCAGGCTTCTGGAGTCTGAATCCCATTGGCCAGCCTCTTCGAACTCCACCCCTACCTACAGCTGTGCTCTTACTGCGGGAGGGTGGGCTGAGGGGCCGGGGGGGGGGGGGGGGGCGGTGTGCGGGGAGGGGGAACAGGGCAGGGGGATGAATCCTAGTGTCATAAGTACTTAGAGAAGCCAGTGTCTTGCCATTGCAGACTGAGAATAATCAGCTGTAGTAATACGACTACTCTAGTTTCCAGGCAAAGCAGCAGTATGGGCTGCCCCTCCCCCGTCACCTCCCTGTCTTACGACATTTTTACTGCAAATAGGAAACAGAGAACTGAGCTGGGTTTAATGGTCCAGTTGTTGTCCTGCCATCCAATGGCAGATACATTTTAGTTTCCCACCATCTCTTCCAACTGGAAAACATCTGACAAAACCAAATATTATCACATAAAATGCAGGTAAATAGGAGGAACAAGGTGGTGGTGGTGGTGAAGTTGTGTATAACTTTGCTGTTTCACATAGGGTTACAATCATTTTTACCACAAAGAAGCTTGATGACACTTTCAGATTCATCTGAATTTGGCATGTAATTCTCTAGAGTGTTCATATGAATAAAATCTATATATATAAAAGCCTAAACGACCATTACAACCAGTCGCTATGATGTGCACTGACCACCAGGTGGCAGATGCTCAACGAAGGAGCTGCACCCTGGTGGTCAGTGCATTCCCACAGCCAACCTCCCGTGGCCTGCCAACCTCCCACGGTCCCTCCCCCTGGCCTGGGCGAGACAGCCCCAATCTCCGGCCGGGCTGAGGGACACCACCTGTGCACGAATTCGTGCACTGGGCCTCTAGTGTAATAAAAAAAAACTATCTGGTTGTCTTATGTAGTTGGATGTGGAGAACGTCTGCCCTTCTGAAGGTGAGCAGTACATCAGCAGCCCTCCCAGCCGCAGGCTTCCTGGAGCTACGACTTCAAGTGGCTGGTTCTCCTCTCATCCCCTTCTGCACAAAGATGTTCACGTGTATGGTTTCTGTTGCTTCTCTTTACTGTCTTGGTAACCCCCTTTTTCTCATAAAACAGTAAATGTGAACCAAACACTTCTTCAAGTACAGGCTTGCCCAGGACTGGGCACCATGCTGATTTTTCATCCAACTGCGGCCTTTATACAAACCCCTTACTAAGAAGAGATCTGGAAGGTTATCTGTTCTTTGGCTGGTAAAAATGAAGGGCGGGCTTACCAGAGCACAGACTTCACCTGTAAGATTCAAAACCGCGTGCATCTTGCAAGCTTTTCCCTTTCATAAATGTAAAAATAACCCCAAACAAGCTGCTACTTAATCATTTTAAATGGCATTTAATCCAGCAAAGCCAACTTCAGCTGAGTAATAAAAATATGTTGACATTCAAGACATATTGAATTACTCAAGTCACTAATGGAGGAAGCAACAGGAATTTTGTAGCATGAAGCAGTTGTTTCAAGCTCAGAGTACAAGTGGCTTTTATAACACTATTGATTGTTTTGTTTCTTTAGTTAAAAATTATGCCAGATGATAAAAATAACTGCTGGCCCACACAAGTTTTTTTTAATTTTTCTTTTTCTTTTTTTTTTTTTACAATTGAAGTTCAAGCCATATGAGTTTTTAAGATTTCAATGAAATAAAAGGCAAATCCTTCTTATTTCCCTGGGTCCTCTGGAGACTGTTACCACGCACCGCCCCCCTTCCCCTTCCCCCCCCCACCCCCGCAATTTTTCAGTCCATGTCAGCACAGACACAATGTTCTTTTTCTCTTTCTAAACTGAGGTATGACAGATATGCCACAGTATAGTATTAGTTTCAGGGGTACAACGCTACATAATGACTGGACATTTTTACTTGTGGGGAGATGATCACCACAGTAAGTCTAGTTACCATCTGTCACCAAAGGTACACGGTTTTATTGTTGTGATGAGAACTTTTAAGATTTACCCTCTTGAGAATGATCAAATATGCACTATAGTATTCCTGACTACAGTCACCACGCTGTATGTGACATCCCCATGACTTATTTGTTTTGTAACTGGAAGTTTGTACCTTTTCACCTCCTTCATTCATTTTGCCCGCCGCCAACCCCCTCCCTCTGGTAAACGTCACTGTGTTCTTTGAG